TTTTTTCCATTGTCTGGGTGGGGAAGGAATAGAAAAGGAGTGGAAGGGAGGGAGAGAGACAGAGAAATATCGATGTGAAAGAGACACTTTGATCAGTTGCCAGGGATCAAGCTTGCAACTGAGGTACATGCCCTTGACTGGAATCAAACCCAAGACCCTTAAGTCCTGGGGCTGACACTCTATCCATTGAGCCAAACCATGCAAGGGCTAAATGACTAGCCTATCTAATAATAGACAAACATTGTAATTGACCATACCTTCGCTACACCTCCCATTGGCTAATCAGCATGATATGCAAATTAACCACCAACAAAGATGGTGGTTAATTTGCATACATAGGCTCGAAGCAGTGGAGCAAAGCCTGACAGCCCAGGGCCAGTGGAGCAGCAAGGCCTCATGGCCCCGGGGCCAGCGGAGCAGCGAAGCCTGACGTTTCCGGGGCTGGCTCCAGCCAGAACTCGGCCAGAGCGAAGGCCTGGGCCCCATGTGCCGGAGGCAAACCGGTGCCAGCAGCCAGGGGAAAGGAAGGCCCATTGCATGAATCTCTTCATGCAACAGGCCTCTAGTATGTTAATAATACACAATACAGAACCTTTGTCTCTTTCTTCTTTTCTCCATCAAAGTGTGCAGTTCAAACAAAGGCTTCATTTTTATGCAAATTTTTATTGTTCTCTACTTATTTCCATTCTCCAGTTAAATAACATATGAGAGTATCAATAGCATTTAAGCAGGCAGCAATTAGGGGAGAAAACCCTTATATGTAATGCCAGCCCAAATGGAGCAAGGGACCCTTTCATCTTGATTTTAAGCTCTCCTTCTATTCTGGTGGCTTTGAAGTGCTCACTTGGGCTGAAGCCACTCAGAAAAATTCAGCAAAATAAGTGGTTTGATGCAAGCAAAAATATAAACCCTCAACCTTTCCCAGCTTTGTGTAATCATCACGTTCATTTACTTTATACTAAACTTGCCTTTGAGGAGGCTACATTAACCAAACTTATTTCCCCCATTTTTTAAAATCCTCTCACAGTGCCTTCTCAGTCTGCAGCTAAGTTTCCCCAAATACTTAAATATTTGACAAGCACCAATTTTGTTACTAAGACTCACTCTAAATTATTAAATATATATAGACCCATTCGTTTATTATTTTTCAAAAATGTTTTAAAATAATGTCTGCTTATAAGAGTAGCAGAATAGGCAAATTTGATTCCTTGATCTTCTTTTAAAGTAATTTTTACAGTGTCTAAACTCTGCTTAGTAGTAAAATTGTCCATATTATATACAGTTGTTTGTATGAAGAATAATACAATAATCAATAAGTAATAGTACAAGAATGAACTCTATGTTTCCTCTACTGTACTCACGACTCTAAATCTAAACCTACTTTTGCCCCACCCTGTACTGTCTGATCGCATTCGGGGGAAGGAAGCCACTGAAGTGTCATTTGTTGCACAGAGCAATACTCCAAAACTTTCAGTATTTCATAACGTGACCCAGTTTCATTTACTGAAAATAAATATCAATTGAGCACACACTATGTCGTAGACGTTGGGAGTGTAGTAGTGAAGTCAGACAAAGTCCCATTTCATATGGAGTTTACAATTAAGAAGAAAGACTATGCATAAATTAGTAAGAGACTCTTTGATAATGTTATCAAGTCTTAAGTCCACTTATTATTTTGTAAAAGGTACATTCTCTTTCTTTATCTTGTTAATGAGTAAATGAACTTTTTAATCTCTAAATAGCACATTTACTAGGATTTTTTTGGTTGGTGTTGGTAGTAGTATTTTTGTTGTGTGTTCTTTGATGATCTGGTATGTATAGTCACAACATTTCTCTCTATAGGAATAAAAGTGTAAGATTTTTTGAGGGGTTAACAAAATTAGCCAAATTTAAATTTCTATATTATTAATACCCTAGGAACCCAGCGTGCGATTTGAAATCGCGTGGTGCCACCCACTCCCTCTCTGGCCCTTGAAGGAGCCACAGCCACTACTGATCAGGCCCTCTCCCAGCACAGGCATGCGTTGAGGCCCCTGCTGCCCCGCCCACGACACTGCACGCACAACCGCCTCCTATCCGGTCAACCCGTTACCGTTAGGGTGTCCTGGTTAATTAGCATATTTCTCTGTTATATATATATTCATACTAATGTTAAGTTCAGTACAATATATCTGATACATTTTGAAATATATTTTATCCATTCATCTAAGCAGCATACTATAATAAAATGTATATGTTAAATATAATGAATTCAAATCTTTTGGATGTTGGAATCAAGTTAATTTAATAACATCAATATATGTATATAGCCAGTCAATTGAGCCATTTTTTTCATTCTTTACATTCAAAAGATTAGACTTTGATTTTTTTTAATTTATGTTGGAATGTTGTTTTTCCTTAATCTGAAATGTGTCTTCAAATATGTTTTATTCCCTTTTCAGGAATTTGCTGCACTGACAAAAGAATTAAATGCATGTAGGGAACAACTTCTAGAAAAGGAAGAAGAAATTTCTGAACTTAAAGCTGAAAGAAATAACACAAGAGTAAGTATAAAACTGCCTCTGCTTGAAATTGATTCCATATATAATTCAATGCCTTATCTCTTATATGGGCTTAAAAAATAAATATTTAAAAACTTCAGGAAGACTTTAAGCAGACATCACTTACAGTCAGTTACTTAAAGTAAAGGACAATATACTACAAAACTCAAAACAGGAAGACAGGAAACCTAAATTAGAGTTTCGGGTACTAAATTACTATGTTGCCTTAGAAAATGTCCTTTTCCCCTGTCCTTTTTGCTTTTTTCAATTTTAAAAAGAAAGGCTGGGTTTCAATACAGAATTTCAAACTTTCAAAGTGTTACACTGGAGTGGACGACCAATACCTGGAGCTGGGAGAGCATGAGTTTCGATTATGAGGTAATATGAGGGAGTGTTGTGGCATTGGCCTTACCTCACCCAGCAAAATATTTATTTGTAAAAAAATTTTAAAAGTTTTAAAATGCAAAACCACTGGAACAGAACTCTCCAAGTTAAAAGAGACCTACTTTTTCTGTTTTAGAAGAATGTCATGGAGACTTTCATTTCTGATTTCTGAGTTTAGGAAACTGATGGAATATACTATATTCTCCTCTTGGAAACCCACCTGTTTCAATCTCATGGCATTTAACTTTCAAGTTCAAAATGTAATTGAAGATGCCGTCTTTTCTAACTATGAAGTCACTAAATTTAATAAAATATATAAATTATCATAATGCCCAGAAATGAGAGCAGCTATTCTACTAATGAACATAGAGAAAAAAATACTTTGTGTGATGTAGTTCAACTTTATATAAAGTAGGTGAAAAATATTTTAAATGTTAGAGTTCTAACAGATTAATGCTGAGAAAACAAGTTATAGTTAATGTACTTGTTCATTTTATGCTTGGTCTTAGAGAGTAATATAAAAATTATAGCTTCATAAACAGTGAGCTAGTGCGCTAATGAGAGATACCGCTACATGAACAAAGGTTATATCATCAGATTCAGTTTATCTCCTTATTCATCAGGGGCTTGTTTTATGCATGTGCACACAGGAACTCGTTTTTATTGCAACTCTGATGAGCCAGTCTCATGGTGCTCCAAACAGGACAAAATGAGAAGTTTAGATTGTGTTATTTAGGGGTCAGGTTAATTTTTTTTTCTCCCTCTATATATTGCCCCACCCTTGACTTTTGAGTTACAATGTATTTTTTCCCACCCAAATTTAAAGTTTATTTTTGCCATGAGCTTTATTCTTCCCGGTTTCACTGCTCTCTATTTTAACACTTTTGGCTACATTCCCTGATGTAGCACAATATGCCAAATGTAAAAGTAGGAGCCGGAAGCTGAAAATGGAGGGAGATGCAAACCTCCAGGTAGCTTTTAACTATTTCTCATATTTAAAATGCACAGAAACTCTCTTATTGGTTGTGTATCTATTTCTGCTTTATGTAGCCTTTCTATCCACATCCCTGTTACCCCTTTCCACAGCCCTATGTGGGAGATGTTATAATTATCTCCATTTTGCAGATGAGTCAGCTGAGCTCAGAAAAGGGCAGATAACTTGCCAGAAGTCATGCAGTGATAAATAGCACATAAGGGATTTAAAAACTAAGGCAGAATAATTCCAGAGCCTGTACCCTTAGCCATAAGGCCTTCAGCACAATTATTCAATTTAAATCCATGAAAAAACGCCTAGATTTACTACAGCTTATATAAGACATTGCCTAAGAATTAACGCTACCATATAGAGTATGTCAGTTCTCCTTAATTGTGACTAATTTCAGAGAACTCAGAGATTTGGGGACATCATCCACACGGTTTTCACCATATTATACCCCAAGAGGTCCAAAAGTACCTGTGACTATTGTACCTGCAAAGGAGCTTGGGTAATAAAAGAACAAAGGCAAGCTATATTTGCAATACCTATTCAGGAGTCAATGTGAGCAAAATACAAGTATTAAGTTTCATTAGAACAGTAGAAATTGAAGCCATTGATTTTAAACATGAAAAATAGTTACTTTGAAAATGAATGTTTTTCATTTCTTTCTTTTAAAATTAATTTAAAATTATTTTTGACATACAATACTATATTACTTTCAGGTGTACAAATTGGAGATTAGACATTTATGTACCTTATGAAGCCATCACGGAAATCTGTCTAGTACTCATCTGCCACCAATCATAGTTATTACAGTATTATTGACTATACTAGAAGCCTGGTGCATGAAATTTGTGCACGGGAGAGGGGAAGTCCCTCAGCTTGGCCTGCACCCTCTCCAATCCAGGACCCCTCAGGGATGTCGGACTGCCAATTTAGACAGTCGGACACCCCTCTCGCAATCTGGAACTGCTGGCTCCTAACTGCTCACCTGCCTTCCTGCCTGATCACCTCTAACCACTCTGCTTGCTTGCCTGATCAACCCTACTCATTTCTGCCTATCTGTCTGATGCCCCTAACTGTTCCCCTGCTGGCCTGATCGCCCCCTAACTGCTCCCCTACTGGCATGATCGCCCCTAATTGCTCCACTGCCTGCCTCATCACCCCTAACTGCCTCTGCCTTGGCCTCTGCCACTGCGGCTTTGTCCAGAAGGTCATATGGCTGTCCGGTCTAATTAGCATATTGCTCTTTTATTAGTATAGATTCCCTACAGCCCTGTGACTGTTTTTATAATTGGTGATTTGTACTTCTTAATCCCCTTTACTTTTTTCACCTGTCCTCCTCCTAGAAAACATTTCTCTACTTTCCTTAAAATCAGTTATATGGAGGATTTTTGTTGTTGTTGATTATGTCAAAGGAAAACAGATTTATGAAGTCTTTCTTGTGCAAAGTATTGATTATATGACAGCTACCTAAGTTACATAATCACCTCTGACCTTCTCCACCACACAAAAAAATATAAAGGGCTGAAAACTAGACATACCCGTCTCTTCCTCCATAATGCCCTATTAAATGTTGCTAAATATAACAGTTTTATAGATTTTATATAATCGTTTTTCTTCTACATATTGTGTTTTCCCCTTGCTATAAACACCTACTTATTGGTCATTTAGAGAAAGTAACAAACTAGTATTTTCTTCTCACACCTGCAAAAATTTTTGATTGGTGTTAGATTGTGAGAAAATTTAAAGTAGAATTGCATGTTTTAATTTCCACGGTTCCCATAAACCTGTCCTTTTATCTTGAGTAGTTAACATATGGGTTGAAATAACACAAAAAAAGATAATCACAAAGAGAACTCATAAATGGATAGAGGTATTTCTGTTAATTTTGAGTCTCATAAAAAAATAGACCAGAAGGGCCCTCCTGTTTGATATTTGGATGAATTATACCTTCTTTGAAATAGAAAACGGAAGTTTTCAATGGAGTTGAATAAATAAAGTTTATTTAATATATCAATTAATAAAAATGATAATATAATAGCTAAATTAATTAAGTACAAAATGTTTTTCTAAGGGTTTCACATGTTTTACCCACTTTATCCTTGTGGCACTCCCACTTTCCCCACTTGACTGATGGGAAAACTGACATAATAAGTAACTTGCATCAGGTCACATGACTAATAAGTGACACACCCAGGAATCCATTGCTCAGCTTAACCACAGGTGATGTATCTAAGAAATCATATTCCTATGTAATTAAAAATCACATGTGCTATGACAGAATTGTGTTTAAGGAAGAGCAGAGTTCTTTTTTTTTGTAATTCATTCCTAATCTGTTCAATAATTTATTTTTGTCTCAATTGTGTGGAAAATAATGTACTAGCTATTTATTGTGATGTCCACGCTGAAAGTTGTGGCTATGAATCATGTTGTCACTACAGAAACAACTGGTCCCCTCCCCCGAAATATGAGTGAATGAAAATCCAACTGCCTCAAGTAGTTAAACTGAGGACATCCAAATAAAAGCATCCTAATGTTATACTTGATTGTACAAATATTATAGCAAGTATTTACAGAAACTATTAAACAAGCTTTATTGTTTAATATTTCCACACTAATAAAATATAGAAAAAGGTGATTAAACAAAACTTGTCATTCTTAAAACTCTGATCACACTTAGACAAAGTTATACTTAGAGAAAATAACTTATTTCTGATGTTTATTTCAACTTATTCAATTTGATTATTAAAATGTACATGGTTTTTTCTTCAGAATTATCTGAATTAATGACGAGATAAAAGGAAAACCAAAAATGTTGATATAGTTACTATCTCTTAATATCACAGTAGAGAATTTTTTAATATGTTCTTATTGATTTCAGAGAGGAAGGGAGAGGGAGAGAGATATATTGAAACATCAATGATGAGAGAGAATCATTGATCGGCTGCCTCCTGCACACCCCACACTGGGGATCCAGTCTGCAGCCTGGGGATGTGCTCTAATCTAGAATCGAGCCTTGTCCTCCCAGTTCATAGGCCGATGCTCAACCACTGAGCCACGCTGGCTGGGCTCAGAGTACATAATTTTGGTTGTTGTTTTGGAACTGTTTCAACTGTTTTTGTGGCTGAAGATCTCAAAGGATTGTTGTAATGATTGCATAACTTTGAAAAGAAAGCTTTGATTTCAGAAGTCAGAAATAACAAAGCTGAAATCTCATCTCATGGGTCATAAACTAAAACTAAGACCTAATTGTCCTTAGTTCAAATTTAAGACCTAATTTAAATCAATTCTTACTATGCCCTCTTATTTTTATCTAAAGGAATTATATAAATGTTCAAATACAGAAACCTGCCACTACCAAAGGAAAGCTTCCCATTCCTGACAAACCTTTCTACACAAGTTCATAACCTTCCTCCAAAGACATTTCCTCAATGATTATAAAATACAATCCAATTGAGGAAAAAGAAGACCCTAGCAGTGAAAAGCAGGTGACGATACATGTGTATGCATATGTGGGTGCTTTCTACTTCAATGCCACTTGTGACTGTAAATGATTGTGCACAATGTTATGTCAAATTCAGGTATTAATATAAAGATATATAGTTTTAGAAATTTAGTTAAAAAATATCCAATGGTGCCATATGTGTGCATGCATATATGACATGTTTCTTTGTATATCTATATATGCTGTGGTCATTTAAAGTGAATTCCAACATAGGATTAATGGCCATTCATATAGTCCCTGAATTTTTTTTTTTTAGTATACCTCTGCAAGCTTTATTAAATATTATACTAAATGTGGCTTCCAGAAAAGGTACAATTAGCAGATATTAAGTGGTATCTTAGATTAGTTGATAATTTATATTTATCATTAATTTAAATCGTCAAGTACTAAGCATATGTTATGTAGAATATTTTCCTAGGTATTGAAGAGTATTCAGGATAAGTTAATTTCAGCTCTTAAAGAGTCTGTTTTATACTAATAAAAATATATTTGGTTTTGTTATTATATAGATGAGAATTCCTAGTTGCACGTAAGAGTACAGCTTAGCTGTTTTAATCAATAAACATTAATTAAGGTATATAAAAATCTCTTAACTGAGTTTCCAGGCACAATTTCTAGGACCACATTTCTTAGTCTTGTAAATTTTCCTCACACCCCCAGTCCCAGTAACATGCACCCTCTGCTGCTACCTGTGCCAGCAAAACAGATGCCCCTCCCATCACGTTTCCTCATCTCACCCCTCAGAATCCATCCTGTGCATGTGGCTCTGGTTAGCTGACTCTTAAGTCACATATCTGCCACCTAGTGGTAGCCATGACTGAGAAATGTTTCTTGGATCCTGTTACTGAGACAATAGCATTCAGAAAGTGGGGAACTATTAAATATGGAGGGTTTGTTCATAAGATTTGGGGCAACCACAACTGTCAAGTCTACAGTATAATCTAATTTTTATCAGCTCCTTTTTCATATTAAAATTCTAAACAACAGTATTACCGACATGTATCCACTCAACAAATACTTATTATGTATCTATAGATGTCAGGAACTAAGCCAATATTCAAATACCCAGATCATTTAAATCAAGATAAACATAGTACCTACCCTTGTGGAGTCTATATTTTAATGAGGAAACAGAATAAAATTTAGTGAAACTGTCCTTGAGAAATAAGACAGCATGATATGTTGTGAAGAAAATAAGCAAGAGATTCAAATAGAGGATTATGGAGGCTGGGAAGAGGAGAGACCTCACATAGAGTATCAAGCAAGTGTTTCTTTGAGAGGGTGACGTTTAAACTAAGATTAGAAAACGAGAAAGAGCTGGTCACATGAAGAGCCAAAGGAAGAGTATTCCAAGCAGAAATTTCAACATATGCAAAGGTTCGGCATATTGAGGGTCCAAAAGTAGGCATATGTAGTTAGAGCATGCTTTGCCAGGGAAAGACTAACACCAGATGATGTTGGAGAAATAGGCAGGGTTAAGTGAATAAAATGCTATATAGCCTATCTGAAACTGATTAGATTTAATGAATTCTGGCATGTATCTATAGAATTCAAGAGTAGAATATCATGAATATAATCAGAAGTTGATAAATAAAAGGAAAACTCCTTGAAATATCAATATTTGTGTCACCTTCATACAGAATTTCTATTACAATTATTTTGACCCTTAAACATGACCTCTACCTACTGATTTGTATATGTTTAGAATCTCAGGTTTTTATGTTTCTTTATGCCAGTGGCATAGCAAAGTTTTCTGACACTGACCCATAATTAGAAACAGTAAGTGTAGAGAACTTATTAACTTAATAAACATTAAGAAATATGATACTAATATGTGACATTGAATCTAGCAATGACATTATAAAAATCAAAAATTTTCATTACTGTGTAAGCTTTAGGAAAACATCTTGGGGGAAAAACTAAATTTTTTATTTCCACCCACCCCAGTATCTTCTACTTGTTTTTTTTCTCTCTTGTTTGAGTAACTTCTGCTTTATTTTGCACAGACACCATTTGTTAGCCTACACTTCCACCATCCTACTGAAAAGCTCTCCTACAAAACCAACTGGTCATGTGTTATTCTTCAATAGCAACATTTTAATAACTGATAACCCAGTAGTTTTTTTTTTAATTTTCTTCTCATGTAGCTTTGCTTTTAGAGGCAGAACTCCCTCATAAAATAAAATAAAGGTGATATTCTAAGTCACGAAACATTTAAAAACAAATCTTGTCTGGAAAAATCAAAGCATAGAGCCTGTAACATACTGAAACCACTGGACTTCTATATATTCTGGACTCCTATCATGGCTCCAGTGGCCACTCTGGGTAAATGAAGGTTCTGGACTACTCATTTTAAAAAGTATTTATACCTGAAATTTTATATATATCTCATGTCAATTGTAATTAAAAAATAAGAAATTATTTAAAATAAAATTACGTTCTTTAAGCTTTTTTCCAAAATGACTATTGCAAATTTCAGTTATTCTATTCCATTTGACTGCATACATTTTTATGATATAATTTAAGAATTAATTATACATGAGTTATTAGCGATTATCACTAATAATTACTATAGCAACTGGTAAATGTGATTATTACTGTAATTACTATGCAACATGTGATTATCATTACAATCACATTTAAAGCCATGTGATTATTATGTACATTTCCTTCAAATAAAAAAATTAAATAACCAAATATAAATGAAATTAATTTTGACTTTAAACATTATTAACAAAACCATCATGCATTGTGCAATGTTCTTTAATAATTTTCATATTGGGTCACACATATTACATTGTGTTCTACTGAATCCATACTCAAATGGTTAAATTTTCCAAAAGAGTGTATACAATATACATTATATTTTTAAATTCAGTAATTTTTCATATAATAGAACTGCAATTTAGTTGATTTCCCCCATCACCTTTATCCCCTCTATGCCCTCTTGCAATGCTATTTAGTTTTAATGTATTTTATGGAGCCTGGTTTGGACACAGGTTTGCACTTTTTGCCACTTACCTGTATTATAATCTGAGGTTATCATTAGATATTATGTAAACCTACAATCTTTTAAGGAAGTCATTTTTAAGAATTAATGATTCAAATCTATAAGGTAATTCTATTTTCTGTTAAACTCAACAGCTGTTACTGGAGCATTTGGAGTGCCTTGTGTCACGACACGAAAGGTCACTAAGAATGACGGTGGTAAAACGGCAAGCGCAGTCCCCCTCGGGAGTTTCCAGTGAAGTTGAGGTTCTCAAGGCACTGAAATCTTTGTTTGAGCACCACAAGGCCTTGGATGAAAAGGTACAGTATTGTAAAGGGATTCTTACAATCTTACATGTCAACTTTACTTCAAAAAAGCTATATTTAAAGAAACTTTACTAAAAATAAAAACTATAGCAATGGCAAAAGATTTCAGCTTCCCTGTGCTTTTGCTGAGGATTGCAGCAACTGTGCTCCTTGTCTTCATCCATGCGACTCCTGACGCCTGAACACTCAGTTCAGAGGATCACCTTTGAGTTATAAGAAAATTATTTTTTATAAATGCAACAGGATTACTGTGTGTATATTGGTAATATTCATCACTATGTGAATGTTTTTAATGTCACTGGATATATGGCTTCTCAAGTTAGACTTCTGTTATGGTACATTATGGTCCAACTCCCTATTGCTAGTTGAAATTTAATATTATCATTCAGCTTTTCTCTCTCTCTCTTTCATTTTCTCTTGCCCCATCTCTCTCTGAAATGCATGTATATAGATGCCAACATTAGAGACAACTAATTGGCAAGTAAGCATATCTTGAGGTATATATTATAACCATACAGTATTTATAGGTCTCTAATATCATAGTTTTGAATATACATTTGTAAGCCTCTGAAGATAATAGCATAAGGTATTAGTAGAAAAAACCTACTTTAGGTCTTTTTTAAAGTAGCCATAAATTTCTTTCAGCTGGTCCTCAGGTAGATTCTACTGACATATGCCAATATGATGATAATATTCTTTGCAGGTTAGTAAGGTTTATGACATAATTTCCATTTTGTAAATTTTAAAGAATGAACATTTAAAAATGAATGAAGCTTTAGGATTTTGTAAAGTGGACATTGGGTCACTTCATTGTAAACTATCAGAGAAGTTCTGGGCATTAAAATCCACACTAGGGATTCTTACCCAGTTATATCTAGGTTTTGACATGCAGGCACTCTTGCTCTATTTAATATTTATATACATATGTATTTTTATCACTGATCTTTCAGATTTCTTTTGAGCTGGGGATTATGTGGAATATATACATAATGATAACTATAGTTCTGTTTTCCAGATAATTAGGAATAAATTATTTTATTTTTTATTTTAGCTCTGGGAGGTGACTTATTTATGAATATTGAATAAAACAAATGAAAATTATATAATGATTCCTGATAAACATAATATCAACAAATATTGCTTATCAAATCATCATTTAATATATTTAATATTGTTTCATATTATATCCCCTTTTTTATTACAAAAGTATATTGTTAATAATCTACAAGACTTCATAGAATATCTGTTATGTGTCAGACTCCTTGGCAGATATTTGGCACAAAAAGATAAATAATATATTCTTCTTAAATGTGAGGAGTTTATAAGTAGTACTGCAGATTCACATGTCAATAACAGGCACTACTAAGAAGATATGTATAATGCGATGCGGAGTCACAGAAAGAATTGTGACTTATTCTGCTTGAGAAAGTGACAAGGAAGTCATGAATGTATTCATAGAGGGGTAACATTTGATCTGGGTATCAAAACTATGTCAGGGTTTTTTAAGTGGAGAAATAAAGATACTTTAAACACTGCAGCCAATATATAATATAACCCAGAGGTATATGAAGAACATGGCCTGTTCAGAGAAAATTTAACATAACTTGAATGAAGGTACTTGAGAATGTGTGGTTTGGGATGCTCCCTGGAAGCACCCCACATCAATTAAGTGAGGAATACTTTTATGCAGGAATGAATAGAAATCAAAAAACACCATTTAAGACAAATAACCTGATAGATGTACATACATTTAAGAAGAAAATGATTGCTGTACAACTTAGAATATAGAAATAATTTACTATCAGTTCAGTGAACTCAGCATAATTAAATGAAGTATTTTAAGCCATGGCCCCGGAAGCTGTAATATGATGTAATAACTCACCAGGTGTGTCTTGCATGTTAGTAAGTTTAGGGACAACTGAACTAATTATCAACTAAGTAATGCTCAACAGCTTAAAGGAAAACTGTCATGACTTTGGGCTCTGAAATTGGACAGACATGCATAAGTGTCATCTCTAAGCATCTTCCTTTTTTGAGGAGAGAATAATAGCACCTACCTCATAGAGTTGTCATGAGGATTAGGAATGATCTGACATGCAAAGCTCTTTGCTCATGCTCAGCATGTGTCAAGTGCTCGGTGAATATTAAATGGATATTACTATTAACATGAGTACCAAGTTTCATCATTTGACAAAACTTTAGAACTATGTAAAGATATTATCACTGTTGACCTTCATGCTTGTTTTAAATAGTATTTCAGCCCTAACCGGTTTGGCTCAGTGGGTAGAGTGCTGGCCCATGGACTGAAGGGTCCTGGGTTTGATTCTGGTCAAGGGCATGTACCTTGGTTGCAGGCTAGACCCCCAATAGGGGGCGTGCAGGAAGCTGGCTGATGTTTCTCTCTCACTGATGCTTCTATCTCTCTATCCCTCCCCCTTCCTTTCTCTAAAATCAGTAAAATATATTTAAAAAATAAATAAATATTTCATTTAGTTATTGAGGAATTAATATGTGCCTAAGCACCTTCATAGACAATTTATCTAACTAAGCATAGCTCACAGCTTCTCATGATGATAGGAATGTGTGAGGAAACAGACATAAAACAAGTAATTACAATATTCTAATTTAATTTATGGCCATTGTATTAAAATATAGATAGAAGATCAAATGAATATGCAATTAACCATATCTTGAGAGCAAGAAACTGCCAACTTTATCATACAGGGTTTAGAACACCTGAAGAGCTAAATGCAGTATAAAAGCTTGAGCATGATATGGACAATTAAATGACTGGCAGTCTTCATTGCTGATGTCCTTATTCATACATCCACTAAGTTGTAAGGTAGGATTATTACAATTAGCTAAGACCAACAGTAGTTTTGACATCACTCTCTAATATATTCACCAATTCTATAGGCTGGAGGAAGTGAGAAATATATTTGTGTTTTGTATTGACTATTTTTAAAAAATATATAGGAGATATATGGCAATTATAGCAAAAATATCAAATACATATGCACTCCCCATTAATTTCTGTGATCTAATATAACAGTACCAAAACTGGGTTTGAACTTTTGCTATTTGAAGATTTCCTCACAATGGTGTTGTTACAAGATGGATAATTCCAAAGTGAAATCCTGCCACGGCTTAATACTTATTTAAAATGTATGCTTATTCCACCAAAATTTCTTTTCATTCTGAAGCACATTTGTTGCATTTAGGGATTTATTTTATTTTAATTCCCAGGGATACAATTTCTGTGGCTTTTAAACATCTTTTGGGAAGAAAAAAATCCCACATAATTATTTTCATAGCATTATGAGGAATATAGATGTCACAAATGAAATTGTATATCAAATATGCTATACATGCATAAAATTTATATTTGGGGGGTTATACTATAGCTCTCTAAACAAGCAAGCAATATATCTTAACATAAAGACTATGCAGGAATTGATGAATTTAATATAGTCAAATAAAAAAATTAATAAAGTTAAGCTTAGAGCCAAGGCTATAAATTGTGTACTTATATTTGGGGGGGGGGGAGAACACCAAATCCAATATGAAGAATTAAGGTAATTATGGCATCCTGTTGATGCTATGCTCAGAGCAGAGCAAAAAGGTGAAAGGCTTGTCGATGTACGATTTTTTTTCCTATCAATGGAGTTTCACCTATTTGCATAAGGTAAAACGTTAGTGTTCTTTACTAGTTACCCTTTTTCGTACCTATTGTTTCTTTACTAAGTTTAACATGGTAAATTATATACAGAGAACAATTTCATTTTAATATAAATGTGAATAAAAATTAACCTAATGTATTGATATTTATATCAACAGTGTTTACATTTAGAACATAAATTCAAAATATATTCAGAAATTATTTTTATTTTCTTATAAAGACAGCTTCAGATTCATTACTTTGTGGCTAATATAATATCAAGTTTTTACTGCTGTTCTAAATTTATTGAGGGGTGATGCTGTTTCCTTAAAGGCTCAGAATAATGGGAATATAAATGTTTAACTTACAAGATACCTAGTTTCAGCCACTCTTATATGACTCAGGTGACTCTTTTAGAATCATTCCAATATATTAATATATCTTTTAAAATATGGTACCTTAACCTCTTCACAGCAGTCTAAATGAGATCCAATCAATGTTACATATAGTGAAAGCATTTACTTATATTTAACCATTGCTGTTCTCATCAACTGGGATTCCTAAACCTTTATCAGAATACAGTGGGGCCTTGACTTATGAGTGTCCTGACTAACGAGTTTTTCAAGATACGGGCCGTCTCTCAGCCAATTTTTTGCTTTGAGTTGCGAGCTAAAATTCGGGTTACGAGCCAGCTTCAGATACCCCACCGCTAGTTGGCGCAGCAAATGTCACAGTGAACGCCACAAATCAGCCCAGCATCACGTGTCTCACTCATTCACTTTTTGATTTGACATACGAGTAATTTGAGTTACGAGCTCCGTCACAAAATGAATTAAACTCTTAAGTCAAGGCCCCACTGTACCCATATTTATAGTTGGTATTTTAGGAAGTGGGCATAAAACTTTACAACCATCCTTGTTAAACATCAAGCACAGCTACTAAAATTCTTTGTTCATATCTGCATTCCAGATATCACCAGTCCTCCTATTTTCATGCCTTGGGGCTGTTTGCTTCTTTGGCATCTTTCCAAGATGTTCATACAAAAGTATTCCCTAAGTCAGATAATCAAAGAGTTTCTTCCAAGTAGCTCTTGTTCAATTATTAATCAGTATAAGTTTTATGCATTTTTAAAAAATATATTTTTACTGATTTCAGAGAGGAAGGGGGAGGGAGAGATAGAAACATCAATGATGAGAGAAAATAATTGATTGGCTGCCTCCTGCATGCTCCCTACTAGGGGTTGAGCCTGCAACCCCAGCATGTGCCCTTGACCAGATTTGAACCCAGGACCCTTCAGTCCACAGACTGATGCTCTATCCATTGAGTCAAACCAGCATAAGTATTGTTATGAACAATTAGATATTTGTCTAAGAACACTGATACCTGGCAGTCCATCTAGAATGCCTAGATATCATGAAGTATCTGCATAATCATCTTTGTTATCAAATATCCATTTATATTTATA